GGTCCAATATGGGCTGACAGAACGAGGCAACAAGTAGCCATGGATAATCCATTAAATCAGTTAAGGCCATAATCACTGCTAGAAAGTCTCACAGGATTTTGAACAATCGCCTAACAAAGGGTATATCCGTAGAGATGGTGGTTGGCATGGTACAGAAAAAGCAAGATGAAACTGTTGACAAAGATTTGACTGAGGAAATAACTGTAATCCCGGCTTGATTGCGATCTGACTACAAGGGTAGCGTTGCCTAAAAATCTTCAACACGAAGCGGATAGGTGAAGACATTTCTACCTTCTGCATGCATTTGATCCCAACTACCCGTAAAACGTCATCCCTCGCGACCAGCTTTCCTTCAATCACATTGACGTAGACGATTACAAACACGAACTGCTGGCAGGAATTCAACTCGCACAAGAATGCGCTAAAGAGCTCAATGAAAAGTACAAAGCACGCATGAAAGAGGGATATGACAGAAAGAATAAAGTCGATGTGCACAAGCTACCCAAAATAGGTGACCGGGTGTTGCTCAAACTGCTAGAGAAAGACGCAGTAGAAGTAATCTAAGTAAGAGCCATTGGGAGAGGACCTATCAGAATCGACGAGTGGCATTCTGCGTTGAGTATCTAATAAATAAAGAACAACCTTTTCGAGTCCATTTTGATTCGCTTATAATCCTTCCTCTTGAGCTCGAAAGTTTACCAAGAAAACAACAACAAAAGAGTTAAAAGGCGACATGCAAAAGTAAGCAAAATTGTTTGCAGAGCAACTGCCAATGGAGATGATACAAGTGCACTTGGACTTTTCTTTCGGTGCTCAGGGAAGTACGCTCAGGATGGCAGCGGATACTTAATGCACCGTGCAACAAAAGTGTTTCGAGGATGTCGCACCAACGGCAGAGCATCGGAAATATTCGATTTAATTCGATCTTTTCTTTTGCGAGATTGATTTCATTCCATGAACATGAGAGGAATGAGCAAATAAAAGATTTCCAGTGTTAGATAATAAGCATCCTTTTATCGCGATTACTGGTGTTCAGAAAGCTCATCTCTTTACGTAGAAATTTTGTGTCATGATGTTGATCATTATTCTCCATGATGATTGACCTTTCTTGGTCTCATCATCATGATAATGTCCGATAAGGTCCGAGCCGCAACTTTTTTTTTCTTGCTCATTCGCCTCACAACGGATGAACTATTGCAGAAAGACTGGTGCGGGTCTAGCTTCATTCTTCTGTCGTTTGGTCGACGGCCACTCGCGTGGGAATGAAATTGCTAGCAGTCCGCGTCCGCAAGTGGAACAAGGTATGAACAGGAAAGGCATCGATATCAGGTGATGCAATGAACTCGAGAAATCATTGCGGTTTTATCGAAGCAGTGTCTGTGCAGCCTTATTCCAATCTGCGAGCGAGCTCCCATGGGCCAGGAGCACACCCAAGAAGTTCATGTGCGGAAGCTTACTCAAAGGACGTTATCAAAGAATATTCCAGGTTCTTCGCGTATACGTGAAGTCGGAGTTGGACATACCACCTATCAGAGCAGTTGGAGAATCACGCGTGCGCGAGTATTTTGAGAAAAAAAGGGAAAAGATGAAGCTAACAGGACCTCCAAAGAGATACCCAAGGTGAATCATTGAGGACAACGCAACAGATGTATCCCACCCAGATGCTCCCGAATGCGATTCCAGTACTACAGTATCCACGGACGGCCTCATCATCATCCTCGTATCGTGGCGACAGGCAACCAACTCGAGGACGTGGCGCATGCCTAGTTAGTCCCACCCCACCACCCACCCCCCCCCACGGGGCAGAGATCTCGAATCACTTTTTGAAGTTTTCTTTTGTTCGTGCGTGTTCGGTACTCAGAATTTCATAATACTCTTAGAAGTTCTTCTTCATGTCGTGTGTTGGTTAGAATCTGTTAATCCTTTTATACACGATACTGTTGCGATTTTTTTTGTATGTCGATGACATCATATTGTTGATGTCACATGTCACGTATTTATATTTCAATGTCTGTTGTTGTTTTGCAAACTGAACTATGAATTGTTACTTAAACTCATTGTCACAGCATTCGTCCAAGTGCGAATAACCGATGTCAATGTTTGCGATCCGAGCGTTGCGCCAGCGAGTCGAACGACCTGTCCAGCGAGTCGAACTAGGTACCAGCGACTCAATAGTGGCGGACCCCAACGTTTAAAGGAAGCCCGCCACTTTCAAACAGTGTCCACTGCAAAGTCCCGCCACTTTCAAACAGCGTCCACTGTCACGTGACACTGTTTGAAGTGGCGGGCTTCCTTTAAACGTTGGGTCCCGCCACTATTGAGTCGCTGGTACCTAGTTCGACTCGCTGGTACATCGTTCGACTCGCTGGCGCAAAGTTCGATTCGCTGGTGCAACGTTCGATTCGCTGGCGCAACGCTCGGATCGCTCGATTCGCAAACTATGACATCGGCCTGGCAGGGACGCCGCTGCCCCTAGGGGAGGCGTGTTGATGTAATTGTCTCTATTGATCACTGCATTTCTCTGATAGTCTGTGGTCTCTTAGTGACCCCGTACCTCCGCCCCTGTTTCACCCTGTCTTAATCTGTTTTGACCCCTTTGGCGGGAAAGCCGCTATGTAAAGCCACCACACCAATGTAGCGTCTCTTTTTGTCCCGCGGCTACTTTGGAGTGCAGACCTTTTCTCCCATTAGTCATCAGCCTATTGCCTGAATGTGCCATTATTACGCTAATAAATTATCCCATCCCCCCCCGCCTATCCGGAGAATACGAAGGACATTGCCCACTACACATTGCGAGCTATTTCGCTCTAAATGCTAGTGAGTGTGGAGCAGGGAAACTTTGAAGGGCGCCGTGTGTTCACCAGAGCGACCGCTCATAGTCCATGTGAAGCAGTATGGTCGCTAGGTAAGACATGCGGGGCCCTCGTGTGGAAGCCGTTTTCGATATAGTCACGATGCAATAAACTGCACGGCGTGCGGCGTGAGGGCGAGTTAGATACTGTCACGAGGGTAGCAACCCACCGCTGTCGAGTGCTGTAAGCCTTTTAGCAGTATTCCCGGAAGCAGCGGTTAACACCGCTACGAATAACTTGGTTGCAGGAGGGGGGTGAACGTTATAAGCGACTGGTTCACGAGATGGAAGGAGGCAAGGATGTGCGGTCCGGAGTTGCGGAAGGAAATGATAGCGCACTACCAGATTTTATATTGTAAGGATGACCTGGGAGGCACCTTGGACACAGTGTCTGGCACTTGTTTATAGATGCTGGAAAAGGGACGGAGTCCTATTTGAACGCTTCAGGACCTTTGCCCCGGAAAGAGGTTTTGTATCTGAAAAGATTGAAGAAGCCAGAAGTCCGCTCAGGGACTGGTGTGACATATACATGGCGAGACATGGTGGGCACCGCCCACAGCAGTGGTGTTAGAGCGGATGGTCAAAAGAGAAGCCTGGTATGGCACCACAGATGTCACGTTTTCCCCCCGTGAGAAGCCATACTGGCAGTTACTTTGGTGTAAACTGCGGGACAAAGGGAGACACGGCTCGTCATTGCGGCTCTGTGACTGAGCTAGGAGTAGTGCCCGAGTGCACCCGTTTTCTCGTGGAAAGAGCGAACTACGCAGGATGGTTCCCAGGGTGAGATAATGGACCATACAGTGTTTGAGGAGTGGCTGAAATCATCTATCCCATCGATGAAAGAATTCGCGGGAGGAAGGAATGTGACTCTAGTGCTCGATAATGCACCTTATCATACAAGAGCACTAGAGAAGGTGAGGAAATATTAGATGACCCGTGCTGACTAAGCGAAAGTTCGTTTTTGGCAGATTCCTACCAGATACTCCACCAAGCGAGAGATCGTGAACTATCTCGCCTCGCATGGCGTCGCAGTGGCTATAGATAGCACAAAAGCTTCGCTCTTACAAGAGGTTCGTCTCTTCATCAAAAATCATCTAGTTTGCCTCTTTGTGCAATATTTAGCTGGACCATTTCGTCGCCAGTCGAGGCGGCGTCGCAGCATTACGCTGTTACGCCGCTGAGAGGATTTGCGAGAGTATGGGGGTGAGCTTACCTAGGCTCCCCCCATTCCACTGCTTCTTCAATACAGTGGAGTCGTGTTGGAGCAACCTCAAACACCGGCTCAACAAGATGGGAAGACCCACGGACAGGCTGGAAACAGTAACGGTTTCTAGTTTCTAGAACTCTTCACCATAACGACTCGAGTCTGACACTTCTTATTGTTCAGGTCAGGGTTAGGGCTGTCGAAGTGCTGGGGGTGTGACAAGTCGAATGTGTGAGGGTTGGTTCTGGGAAGCGATGAAGGAAGAAGATAGTACACGGTTGTAGGAGGCATTAGATGCCAATAACAACAGTGTTGGCGACGAAGAAGTTTTTTCCTCCTCACACACTTCATCCGATGGTAGTCTATCGGATAAATGCTTAGTGACTTTAGTTTAAAACTGTAAATATTTTTTGTTTTTCTTACGGAGTTTTTAAATGTTCACTGACTAACACGGATCTGCTGTGCCATCATTTCATCACTAACGCGGGTTCATGATGTAAAGTGGGTCACTAACACGGGTTTTAACATATTGTAATTCCGTTACTAACCGCATTCTTTCTATTTGATTATCACTCACATGTTATAAACATTAATCGCCGAACATAGTTTATCGATAATCAACCACTAAAAATAGAGTTAGTAAATAGTCAAGTAAGAAAGATAGGAATCAGCATAATAAGCAGTTAGTAACAAAAGCACGACCGCAATCACAAACGGGTGCAACAGAACATCACAGAAGCAGCACAACTTCGAAAGGAAGCTCATAATAGAAACGTGTAGATTAGTAACACAATCGCCATTTTTGAAAAGCACCCGTTACAATTGTAATCTGATCAACGAAACACAACGGAACAACAAAAGCACTACAACACTAAGCGATTACCTTAGGCAAGGATTGCGGAAGCCGGAAGCCATCATGACCTGGAAAAAGCATGCGCAAAAACGACTGGTTGCTTCAAAACAGCTTCAAATTGTGTTCTGCACAACAAATAGAACACATAGAAGAAGCTGTGATGAAGAACAAGCCGAGGAGAAAAAGGAGAAAACACAAAATAAAAAGAAAACTCACCAAAAGAGCAGCGGCTGCAGCATGACCTGGCAAAAGCATGCGCAAAAACGACTGCTTGCTTCAAAACAGTTTCAAATTGTGTTCTGCACAACAATTAGAACACATAGAAGAAGCTGCGATGAAGAGCAAGACGAATAGAGAAAAAAGGTCAATGTAAAATAAAAAGAAATAAATAGAATAAGCAAAAAACTAGGACAATGGTTTTTACTTTTGTAGATAACCCATGCAATATTCGTGAGGAATACAGCATCCATTTTTCTTAAACTGACTCATATTTATTATAGTGATGTCCGCAGTCGTTTGCATTTTTCGATAAATACAAGCGTCAGCAAAATCAGCTGCAGATACGGCGCGACGACTGTCAAGTGCGGCGGGTGTCACGCCAAGTTTAGCAGCCCGCCTAATCAGAGCTCGATAGTTGAATCGCGTGGTTGATGATGCATGAGCAGAAGTACTAGACAGCGTTTTTGTTATGAAGCCTTTTAAATTCTGGATAAATTGTAGTGCTTACGCAGGAGTGTTTTTTCACAATTATGAATTTGATATCGGTATTGCTCTGCAGAAGAAACCCATAATTTATGTTTCGCTCGTGTTAAATAAAGAACCAGATATCTCTAACGATTTGGAACTTTTTTTAAATAATGTTGATCCGTAATAATTCATGCGCGGTACTATATGTTATTTGAGAACTTCGACCGATCTGATTCGTTGCAATCCACTTTTATTGCGGGGCCACATGGTAGTTGACCATTTTAGTTATTACGCTCGACAAAATGATGGCGCCTTGCAGTTCTCGTTCATCCCTTTCCTGAGTGATTACCTTATAAACTTCAAGTCTTCAGCGTATCTTTTTTTGACATCCGGGCCTTGAAATAACGTTGGTGTTTCGGCGCGCAGTATAAAATGATATCCTTCTATATTTATAAGCCGCTAAGTTTGTGTGTCGTTTGATATGTCTGTATGGTTGTATGGTGTGTATGTTAGTTACTGTTATATATACGAAGTTATACGAGGTTAACCTAACATCAAAGTAGAACAGAGTGAGATTACTCATGAAAGATCGCGGATCTGATTTCAGTTTTCCTGACTCATTGATTGCGTAACATCAGACTGTGTGAGAGATGTTTCAATTATCGACATCTTAGGGTAAACCGTATTAACATAGCCAGGAATTGTCATCCTTATTGTTAATGTGATTCCGACATGAGAGCAGGGTCAAACGTTCTTCCCGTCTCTGAACCCTTTCCTCTTCTGTTAGAGAATTGCTTCCTTTTGAAATCTTTTGTTTGGCAGCACGGCTTTCACTAATCGCCCTCTTTGATCGATTTTCCGCCCTAATCGATATACACCGATAGGAATGCATTCTAACTCAAGGAATGATAGGATTTGGTTGGTGGAGTACACGTTATAGTGAAGACGTTCAGTTGTGGAAGGAGCTGTGTCGTGGAAGCGTTACTTTCAGGGATTTCTGCAACAACGGTAGAGCGATCATGATCATGGATCAACACTGACACTGACCAGAGCAGGAGCTGTTGACACAGAAAGGAAGATTTGTAGGAGTAACATTACGTTTGTTCTGCAGTTCCAGTATCCTTCTGCGTAGTTCTCCATTTTCACGTCTAAGTTCTTCAATTTCCTCGTCTTTACTTCTCAACAAAAGACCAAATTGGGCATTGATAGCAGAGAGTGCCTTTTTGATACATTTCGGTACGCCAGCAGCATTGATGACTTCATTGATCGCCTTCCAGACTTCGCCGTCCTGTTCAGCATCAGGCGCCAAAGTCCTTGCATTTCTTGCCTTCGTCGGTATAATTGCGAAAAACAAAGAATGAAGAGAAAAAAGACCTGTTCATGCGACCAACTGTATGAATCTTGGATTGTTGTCGCTCACAATCAACGTTTGAGTCCGATCAATTCAGCAAGATAGGGAGCAAGGTGAAAGGAGCGAAAGGAAGCACAACCACACTTCGCGAGCTCACGTGAACGAATGCATTCATGAATTCATGGATGCACAGTACACCCAGGGTCAACCGTCACGTCGGACCAACTTCGAAAATTTTACGACTCCCCTACCTTTTGGCGAGTCTCGATACGACACCCCCCAACACTTATTTATAATGTACTGTACACTTGGTAATTGTGGATGTGTTTGCGTACTACTTC